GTTGCCCACTAGTGCCCCAGGTGTGTGGTCACCTCAGGTCTTGGGCCTCTCTGGGGAGATGACTCTCTGGTCAGCATGCAGTTGGCTGGGCTGGGGATGGAGTCTGGCGGCGGTAGCAAGGCCTACCTGCTGGGTTGTGTGCTAGCACCGCAGGGAGAGTGGTCTCCATGGATCTTTGGCTTCTCTGGCTGGGAGCCTCTCTGATCAGCACGCACTTGGCTGGGCTGGGTGGTTTAACTTTTCTGATAACTTCTGTGGATATTGGGAATGAGAGCTGAATAATCTTTTCCTGAAACAGCACTATACAGTTTCCTCTTCGGAGCATACTCAATTCTAACTTGTGACTTCTGGTAGAACAAGCCTTATTGTTATAGACTAGTGATGATCTAGAAGCAAAGGAATCCTGAGGTTTGTTAAAATTTGTTCTGTGTTTTTCTTTTAAAAAGCTCCTAATTGTATATGGAAAATAGAATTTGTGTCCACTATTTGCACACAAAATAAAATCATTTTAAGGTAAAAAAAATAAAACAAAAAAAGATTGCTGCTGAACTGATGAGGGTGTGAGCAAGTGCAACTAAAAATGCACAAAACTTTTCTGTCGTTTTATTTAATTTTTTAATGTTTCTTTTTTTATTGGTTATGAATATTCATGAGAAACAAAGCCGATGTCACCCCTCATGCTCAAGATGTGAAGGCCAGATCCATACTGACAGCATGCCCATTAGCACAAATTGCAGTTGTATCCTATGTCCCCCACCCAATTATCCCCAACCTCCCTCCCCCTCCCCCCCCAACTCCACTTTGTATCCCAAGGNATCTTTTTGTGTCTTCTTTAATTTCTTTCAGTAGTGGTTTGTAGTTCTCATTGTAGAGATCCTTCACCTCCTTGGTTAAATTGATCCCTAGTTATTTTATTTTCTTCCTGACAATTGTAAATGGGTTTACTTTCTTTATTTCTCTGTTAGTTCATTATTTGAATATATAAATGCATCTGATTTGGGGGCATTTATTTTGGATCCTGCAATGTTACTGAAGTTATTAAGCAGCTTTAGGAGTTCTTTGATAGAGTTTTTAGGTTTTTCTCTATATAATGTCATGTCATCTGCAAATAGAGACAGTTTGACTTCATCTTTTCCAATCTGGATTCCCTTTATTTCTTTCTCTTGCTTGATTGCTCTGGCTAGTACCTCCAGTACTATGTTAAATAGAAGTGGTGAGAGTGGGCATCCTTGTGTTGTTCCTGTTCTTAAGGGAAAGACCTTCAGTTTTTTAAAGTCACCTTTTTCTTGACTTGATGTTCTCTTAGTTGCTGTAAATGTTTGTTTTCAGAGTTCTGACAAAGTTGGCTCTGCCAATTTCTACTTGTTTTTGATGTTTGTGTGGGAGATGGGAGCATGGAGCCACCTACTGTACCATTTTGCTAATGTCAATCTTCATTTGTCATTAAATATGTTAAAGCATTACTTCTTTTCTTT